GGCCGGCGCGATGGCTCGGTGGGCATCTCCCTGTGGGGGAGGGACGCCGTGGGCGGGTGGGCTTGTGGCATCTGCCCGCCTGGCTTCATCCACCGAATACCCTTGCTTCCCGATGGGGCTTTAGGGACGGGGTCCTCCTGCACGTCAGAACCGTGTTTTCCACGTCCCACCAGCTGCCGCGGCGTCTCCGGAGGGGACTTATAGAGAGCATTCAGTGGTGCCACAAGTCCAATTCCTGGCTCCTTCTACAGAATGGGGAGCATCGTCAAGCCTGCAGACTTGCAGTGGGGCTGCCTCTTGGCTTTGGATCCAGATACCATCCAGAGGCTAGTGACTGTGTTGTTGACGTGTCCTTACTTAAATGTTTTCGGGACGGGCGCCTAAACTTGAATGGATTGGAATCGATTTCATTTTCGCTGAGCACCAACCACGTGGGGCAGTGCAAGAATTTCAGGATTACTGGCTCCTCTCTTCTTGGAACTTCCCAGCTTTGCTTTGGCCTGTATCTTCCTTAGCTAACAAAGGGGGTTGGGGGAATGCAATTCATTTCCGTCTCCCACAACTGAAAGGTACTATGGTTCTCTTCTAATCGCCATCATGCAAAATGCTGACCTCCTGTAGGAGGACTTTGTGTGGAACAGCCAGGCTCAGACTCTCTGGGCCACTATCATATTTGTGAAATAAGGAGACAGGATTACAAACTCTTTAAGGCTCTTCCAGCCCTACATGCTTATGAGCCTATGATTTTTATTAAGTTGCAGATGGTTTCTGTTAGATGCCAACCAATATACTTGAACATGGAAGTTACTGGTGTAGAAATGCATATAGAGTGAGCACAACTTTGGTTTGTTTGTATTTGTATTTATTAGAGTCTGAAAATATTTATTAGGTTTAAAGGATAGTTTTCCTTTAATATTACTATTATTTATTAGGTTGTGATCTTTTTGAGTGAACACAGTCTTTAACACCTTCCTACATGTGGTTAAGATGAGAGACTTTGCCAACATTAAGTAGCAGACAGCTCCAAAAAAAGTCAAATTTTACCCACTTCGGGCAATGTCTCTAACTCTCTAATTCACCACTAACATACCTGGTGAAATGAGAAAGACACTTCATTTTGGTACCAAGGTATCTGGTGAATGCAAAGCTCTTTGTATTTTCACATTTGCTTGTGGACAAAAAACATCTATCTGTAAACTTTCCATTATCTCCAGAAGAACAGCTCTTTGTGCATCCCACTTTCTGTTTCTTACCTATTTACCACGGTCACCTCCAGCTCCAGCTTTTCCAGAGAGTGACAAGTGGTTATAAGTCCTCCCTGCCTTCCCTCCTCAAAGGAATCAGCAACTTGCACTGACTTTGCTAGTACTTTTAAGTGGTGGGAACCTCCCTATACCCTGCACAAAAAGTCGCTTGTACAGTTTTTAAGGCATCTTTATGAAATGAAAACAAAAAACAGATGATTCATGTATAGAAAATAGCAAGTAGAATCCATTTTCAACACCATGTTCAGTGAAATCACCAGGATGTTTAGGTTGAGTCACCATAAAGCTAACAAGCATTAACATGAACTTTTTACGCGCTCAAACCCCTGTGGGTACATGATAAAGCCAAATAAAAAGCACCAAGCCTTGTTTACACAAACTTCTACTCAACCTCCAAAAGTCTTGAATCAAATGTTTCCTCCTCCAAGAAGGTTTCTATGTCTCTTTTGGGTAGATTTATAGATTCACTTTCTAATCTGCCTTTGCTTTTCAGTAGTGAGTGTGGTGTTTTTCATTTGTATGTGTGTTTCTCCACCAGACTGTGAACTCTTAGAAACGAGGACTGTCTTTTCATTTTGTGTCCTCAGGTGGGCTTGGCACACTGAGGCTTCAATAAATGCCTGATACTTAAAGTAAGGTCTACTGAGTACTTACTATATACTAGGCACTATATCAAACATTTTGTATGCATTGTCTCATTAAGTCTTCACAACAAATCTGTTATCCTCTGTGTGTGTGTGTGTGTGTGTGTGTGTGTGTGTATGTGTGTGTATCTGCAAAATGTGTGTGTGTGTGTGTGTGTGTGTGTGTGTGTGTGTGTATCTGCAAAATGAGACCCAGAGCAATTAAAAAACTGACCAAGGTCACAATGCTGGTGGTAGAATTGGGATTTGAACTCAGTACATTCTGCCTCAAGTCAATGTGCTTAATGACTATACTGCCTTTAAACTTGATACGTAGAGTAATAATTTTTTACAATATAGTTTCTGCTTAATAACCACTTCCTAATTGTTTACTCATAAATGTGTGGGGTGGAGTTTATGGGCTCTGATGCTGCTATTACCACCATTTATATTTGTACATAATTTTATAATTCTTCAAAACACTTTCACATAAATTATATCACTTGGTTCTCAAAATAGTCCAGTGAGGTAGGCCGAACATATTATTTTCATTTTACAGATGAAGAAACCTAAGCACAGAATAGTAAGCTGACTTGCCACCCTATGAAGTGCCAAGGCTCAAGTTAGAAAAGGACTCCTGCTTCATGTTCCAGGGTGATTTCAACTATTTCATGCTGTCGGGTTGAGATTTAAGGAATTTGTAATTGTGCTTCTTGTGTGGATTTTGGGTTACTGCATACCAAGATAAGATTTGTTTACCAGTTTCAAGGTCTCACCCCTCAAACAGGGAAGTGGGAGTTTTGGAGGGCTGTAAAGGATTCTTCTGCCACTGAGGCATGTGATCGTGCTTCTTGGTTCCCTCTCCCCTATTACTCTAGATCCCACTCTGGATACCATTAGGGGACCGGATATAGGGCCCCTTTCCATGTCTGCTCCCTGCTTTCTCAGCCTTAAATTGAAAATACCATATTGTATACTATGGGAAGGGAATTGGCAGTGGTGGGAAACTGCCAGGGGAGGGGGGGCAGGATTGGCAATAGTGGGAAACTGCCCGGGAGGGGGGGCACACCTCATCAACAAGGGTACCTGCATAATGAACATTTGTATACCTAACCCTGAATTATAACCCACATCTTTAAAATTAAAAAATTTAAAAAAAGAAAATACCATATTGTAAAATGCTTTGAGAATTCTCAAGTAAATGCATTAAGATATGTGATGTGTGGGCTACTACCCTTGACCAAGGACATTTTTTTCCTACCTAGGAAAATGCATCTATAGGAAAAACAGTTGATTCACACGTGAAATATCTTAATCTATTGAGATTCAGAAAACTTGGAGGTCTCCATCCACTCATCTACTTTAAAAAATCCTAACAGCTGGGCACAGTGGCGCAAGCCTATAATCCCAGCAATTTGGGAGGCCGTGGCGAGAGGATTGCCTAAACTCAGGGGTTTGAGACCAGCCTGGGCAACTTGTGAGATCTCCCTCTACAATAAATCAAAAAATAAGCCAGGCATGGTAGCGCATGCCTATAGTTTCAGCTACTTGGAAGGCTGAAGTGGAAGGATCACCTGAGCCCAGCAGGTGGAAGCTGCAGTGGCCATGAGCGTGCCACTGCACTCCAGCCTAGGCAACAGAGTGAGACTCTGACTCAAAAAAGAAAAAAAGAAATCCTAACCAAGAAAATGAAACTCTATTCAGAAATAAAAGTTATTTTGCTGCCGGGCTCAGTGTCTCAGCCTGTAATCCCGCGCCTTGGGAGGCTGAGGTGAGTGAATTGCCTGAGCCTGCGGGTTCGAGACCTGCCTGGGCAACTTGGCAAGACCTCATCTCTACAATAAATCAAAAATTAGCCGGGCGTGGTAGCGTGCCTGTAGTTCCAGCTACTTGGAAGGCAGAGGCGGAAGGATCGCCGGAGCCCAGCAGGTCGAGGCTGTGGTGGCCAGGAGCAGCCACTGCA